TTCTTTCATCTTTAATGTAACAGCCCAGAGTATATAGCATATAGCTATATGTGCTTCAAACACAAAATGAAACAACTCCTATAAAAACACCCTGCAGAGTGACTGATGGGATTTCTTCTTCCATTCAATGACTTCACCAGTCACACACAAGACTGTTCACTGAGGAGGAACCACAGCTACCTGTAATCACACCACCTATGCTTTGGCCTCTCCTGCTCCCCTTTCTGCAGGTAACTATGTCAGATTTTATCTAAACTTCTCAACCATCTGGCACAACAGCTCAGCTCCCCACTCTCTCTGAGCTGATGCATCCTCTTCCCGGAAACAAATCAGGGAACTTCCCTACTCACTTTCCTTCATCACTCCACCTCAGCTCTTTGCATGTATTTCTTCTTGGAGAGTAGAATACGTTTTGGTCATAAACAACACGATATTTCAGACTTGTGAAAACGTACCTCATGCCATTGCACATCTACATCCATGTGCATCTCCTCAGGTACAGAGACTTTCAATGAGATAAAACGTATGAGGCTGAGAGACAGCTGAGCGGGATGCGTGAACAGAAAGCTCACTAATAAAAATGGTGGCTTTCCCACAATACTAAATAAAAGAATCCTTGGGTTTTTCTCACAAGAGGAAAGGTGTATTTGGTTAAAGCAGTCTTTTTTATTAATACAGTGTGGGAAGTACAATAGCGTCGATAAAATGTTTCATCATATCAAACATGAAACAGGAAATGATCTTGTAGATAGCAATATGTAAAACAACAACCACTGATAATTTCCTACCACTTTGTCTGTAATTCGGTAAGCCCCCCTATTACTATGTTATCCTTCTTTTACTCTTTAAAATTAAAAAAAAAAAAAAGAAACAAGGACTTGAAAGGGAAAATACATTAGCAACTTGGATTACTGGATAATAGCTTAGAATTTTGAACTACAAAATGTTACTTTCAGAACAGGAAACTACTAAACTTGAACATTTCATATCAATTTTGGATATGGTCCTGAAAGTTCTCATAAACCACCTATGTCGAGTGTTGTTTTTAAATTGCAGGCCACCTGCAATCCCTATGGAGGTGGAATGCATTAGCATGAGGCTTTTGAGGGGGCTTGGAAATAAAATGACTCATCCAAATACCAATTAAAGTGATTATAAATTATGAAATTTGATGGGAAAAGGAACATGAACATGGATATATCAGAAACACTAGTAATATCTTTAACTATATAGTGTATTTCAAGTTAAAAGTGACATATATAATAACAGTAACAGTGAATAAATGGTAAGCAGACAAACAGGTAATAAAGATATTATGGACCATTTGAAAATGTATTTTGCCCAATTAACTCACATGCTTTTTATCACTGAAGTCAGATCTAGAGAACACCAAAATAACTATGAGGGCAAAAAACACAGCTTCTAGACAAGAGGCTATTTGAGCCTAAAGGAAATTTCATTTAAGAGAGAGAAAATCCAAGGGTATGTATAAAAGACAAAATAAAACAAGTAACTCTTCTCTTGCATGTCTTTCCTTTGTATACAGGCAGTTCAGAACTGGATTCCAATAGACATTGAGGGAATAATCAAGCTTTAATTAACCACATGGGATTATCTTGATTTTGAGGACTTTAAATCGTTGCTTTATTGGCATATCAGACATTTACTATGGACACTATCTAATCTAGTTCATTGTATTATTATCAACATGATTTATCCTCCTCACTTAATTCTATGTTTTTATATGTTAAGACTTTTGTAACCCCAACTCCATAACCATTTCCTGTGCCTTAGATATAGCGTCAAAACACAAATCTTATAGTAAGACTTGTTTGCTTTATTCTCAGGCTAATTAATTTTCTGTGAGGAGATAAGACTGGGATAAAGCAGGGCATCTATGCTATTCACTTAAAATTAAATAATCACTGTTCCTACTTTATATCATAGACAACTATGTATTTATTGAAAGTCTGCCACATACTTGGTAGTGACATATAAACAAAATATTTGAAACAAATGCCCAGATCTATGCATAATATATTGCTAACTGAATCATTATCCAAATTTAAGAATAAATGTATTTAAAGTTATCTGCCACTTTGGCTTATTCTTGCTAGGTAACATTAAATAATGGCTCCATATATATTTGGTAAGCATCCACTACATTCCATGGATAAACACACTAATGTGCATGGCATTTAATGGGAAAATGGGATGGAAAGGCTTCCTTGCACTCATGGTGTCCATACAGAAATTCACAACAGAATTCAACTGTTGTTGTCTCTGGCTCTTCAACAATAAATAGATAAAGCAGAAATTAATTTATATAATATTTGTTAGAAATGAAATATATCTTCAGTGATGAGATAGGCTGAGTGGCAAAGAAAACTAAGAGACATTATCCAGGCAAAGAAAGCCAAGAAAAATATACAAGTCACAGGCTGTGTACAAACCAGGCTTAAATCTGAGAGTTCCAAGAATGAGACAAGCATACCTGGCATGCATTAAAGCTGAGAAAACATGAGTTTGCAAATGAGTAGAAGGCAATAGCAACAGATCTAAGTGATGATCTCTCAAATCAAAATACACCTGCTCTGCTCATGTATTATATTTAATAATTGTGATTGGCAGAAAATAGAGATAGATTAAATGGAATAATGAACACAGAAATAATCAGAAAGCTCAATATTACAGGTACTAGAAAAAACCTTAGGAACAGATAGATTACAATAACAGAAAAATGGCTACAAACCTTCTCATTAATAATTACAGTGGTGCCTCAGTTCACAAACAATTATTTCCACAATTCTGGTCACAAGCCAAATCAAATTCAGTGGTTAGGTTCAATGTTGACCTTATGAGGAAATTTGATCAGTTTCTAGTCCAATTTATACCATGAGGTATAAAGCATACATAGGGTTATATTCTGGAATGGGAACCTACTTATAACACAGACTCCAACTGTGTTAAATTGGCTTATTTTACAAGCATGTGGTGCATCCCTGAAAAACTATGGTGCCTTTAAATGTACACTGTTTAAAAAAAACAAAAAACATGGCTTATGGGAAAAAGACAAGAGTAGGAAGGAGAATACTGAAAATCTGCAGAAATTTGTAAGCAAACACTAACAAAAATCGTAACATGATAATTTAAAAACTACCACAGTTAAGACTCTCCTAGTATTTGGGGTGAAACTTTAAAGAATAAACACAAACAAACTTCATTTCACACAAGAAAATGACTTCTCTGCTGCATTAGCTGTACCACTGCCTTGACAGACACATCTTGTAGTGGAAGTCCTTATTTCTCCTCACCACTTACACTTATTTAATTGCAGCTGTATTTTAACTGCAATTTTCAAGGACTGCTTCTCAGTATTGGGAAATACCTTTCCATATTACAAAGGAACACTTAAATACAATTAGCATGTTTACAAAAATTAAAACAGCATATCTCTGGGGAATAAGTGTATACCCCTCTTCGCCATAAAAGTGTGTGAATTAACAAAATGGTCTAATGCTACCTCCAGAGGAACACACCTGCATTTGCCCTAAGACTGTACTATTACATACTCCATGCCATTATGGGAAAATGAGCAGCGTCTTACTAAGACACTTTACAAACCATAGCAAGATCCAGCATTCGCATTTATTTCTGAACATGAAATCTGCATCCAATCGTGTCTCATCGGCCACTAATACTATAGCTTTGGGAAGGAGGAGGGCAGAGAAAGGAAGGTTTCACATGCCCAATATCCAGCCCTGCTGAAGAATGATGGAAAGACTGGAAGAGCAGAAACAACCGTTCCTGGGCTTAAAATGGCGTTCTACCACCCCCTGCTGGACAAAAGCAACAACACAGAGGAAGCTAGAAATGCTTAGAATCGATATAGTGAAGATATTTTAATTTATCTTGAAATTTATTCTTTTGTTTAAAAGTTCATGCTACACTAATAATACATTTTCTGCAATTATTACACATCACAGGTTCACTGCAATTGCCTGCTTTAAAGACTTGCACCAATGCATGTTTTAGCATTTTGTTTCCCCAATTATATGTCCAAACTTGTGTGGACAGTTGCAAATGTTTCCATCTATCGTAAAAATATTTCAGGTGAATGTGTGCTATTTATCTTACAAGCAAGATAAATCCACATCTGTCCTTACCCAGATCAACAGAGGTAGCTCCACAAATTGTCCCTCTGGTTATTCTACTAGGCTATTGTTAATTTTTCCCCTCAAGATATAAAAACTCCCACCAGTTGTCCATAACCCTAAAATCCCTTGCAAGAGTCATTGCAATCTCACGTTAAAAACAGTTCCGTTTTCTCTATTAAAAGGGAGGTGGGGGTCTGAAATTAATGACTGCAACACATCTCCAGTTTTATCCGTTGGCTTTCTTGCACTGCACCTCTACTATGGCCCTTCTTAGTTTCCAACATAAATAAGCCCTCATCGTTCACTTCATAGCCAGGAACTGGTCTCGGGAAAGAGGAAAAAAGAGTCTCTAAGAACTGAACTTCTTGCACAGAACGGGAATATTTTACAGACGAGTTTAAAGTTTAGAGATTTTGCTGCTTCTGTAAGATAGCACCATTGGCTTTCCTCCCACAACCTCTGATATGTAAGTATCAATACACACCGACAGACTCATTGAATTTTTTGAAAATGAAACTCAAAGAAAGCTAAAATCCCAGAAAAAAAAGAAAGCTAAAATAGCGCCGGCCGTCCCCGTCCCTCCTCGCCGCTCTGCGCGGGCGGCTCTGCCTGGGTCTCCCGCTCTCTGGTGCCCAGCTGCAAATCTGGAACTTCCTTCTCTCACTGAAGAGTGTCCGCGGAACACACGCAACTCCAGGAGCACCAGAGACAGGGCTAACGTAATAAGGACCACGACCGTCCCTGACACTTTAGTTCTTTTAAAATTTTTTCCTCGTGCGTCTCCCTCTCCGCCTCTGGGGTGGGTGGACGCGGAAGTAAATGCAATAAAGCCCGCAATCCTACCTTGCCCGCCCTGAGCACAGCCCGCGCGGGCCGGAGAGGAGGCGGCTCGAGCTCGGACGTGGCCCCGGCGCGCGGTCCCGGAGCTACCGGCCGCCGCCGCTCGCTCAAGCGCTTCGACCCGGGGACGGGAGGCAGGGAGGCCGGGCGAGGGGAGGCCGGGGG